CTTCTCTTCCCTTCCCGTCCCTTCTCTTCCACTCCCTTCTCTTCCCCTCTTCTCTTCTCTCCTCTCCTGTCTCCTCTCCTCTCTTCTCCTCTCCTCTCCTCTCCTCTCCTCCGCTCTTCTCTTCTCTTCTCTTCTCTTCTCTTCTCTTCTCTTCTCTTCTCTTCTCTTCTCCTTTCCTCTTCTCTTCTCTCCTCCTCTCTTCTCCTCTTCTCTTCTCTCCTCTCCGCCTCACTTCTCTTCTCTCCTCTCCTCTCTTCTCTCCTCCCCTCTCCTCTCTTCTCTCCCCATCTCCTCTCCTCTCCTCTCCTCTTCTCTTCGCTCCCCTAAGTCCCCTTGTCTTCTCCTCTCCTATTTTCTCCTCTCACTTCTTCTCTTCTCCTCTCCTCTCTTCTCCTCTCTTCTCTTCTCTTCTGTTCTCTTCTCAGGTTTGCATGCAAGTTTTTTTTTTTTTCTCCGGAAATTGCATGCAAGTTCATACTCAGCGGCATCGTGTGGATAGCTGGAAAAGACAGAAGGCTCAACAAGTCCCTTGCCCCCAGCTGCCTGCTTTATGCGGCCAATTAAGACTAGTGATTTGAACAGATATTGCAGCTGAATGGAAACTCCTAAGGAAGGAGGGAAGGGGCGACGACATCTCTCCTCTCCCGCTGGTCCGGGAATTAACCCTGGTTGAGTCTCACAGAAAACTTTACATTGTCTTCTTATTTTCAAGTGCTCTGGGATTAGCTCCATTTGGGAGTCTACTTCTGGAATGGGAACTTATTTGACAGCTAGCTAGCTAGCTAGCTGAGAGGGGCCCCTCTAGCCAGTTTCTCATGTTCTATTCAGCCAAGACTGGAAATGACTCCAGGGATGTTGTTGCCTTGTATAATTTGAATGTTCTTAATTGGATGCCTGACCCATTTTTTGGCTGGTGCAGCCATCAATCGTGGTGACCAGCCTCCAGATTGCAGGTTTCCACCCAGGTGCTAAAAAAAAATGCAAAAGACAAAAAAGAACAGCACGCTGCATTTAGCAAAATAGCACGTCTTGTGAGGCTTTACTCTCACAGAGGACACAACATGCAAGAAACTAGAGCAAATTCTGTCAAAAAAAGAAAAAAAAAGAGCAACCTAACGGTTGCTTCAGCATCGCCCTTCTGAGTGAAAATGTGACCGCTGGTTCCCGTGCGGTTGCCAATCGCTTGGGCTCGCTGGCTTCTCTCTATGCAGGTAGGAATGGGGACAGTTGATCGACGTCGTCCGCGTGGAGCGACACCGAGACACCACGTGGAGAAATCCAAAGAGTCGGTGCAGTCAGCGGTGCCGTGGCTGCTGCCTCTGGGAGTTACTTCATTCCTGGTCGTCGCTCTGGTCACTGCGGTTGCCGTTTACATTCTTTCTACGGGAAAGGGAATAGGACATCACGTGGGCGATGGTAGGTCTGGGAACCCATTTGTTCCACCCGGGACTATGGCCGCCAAGGGGGGTGCAAAGACCTCATTGCTGGTCATGGGCGCTTCTCCAGCTGACAAGTCGGTCTACGATCGAGGTCTGGTGACGGAAAGGGTCACGTACGAAAGTGTCCTTACGGAGCATGGGCGGTACTATAGGGAGCTTCTCCCTCGCAGGTTCTCTAAGACTGTGTTGGGATTCGTGACGCCGTGGAATTCCCGCGGCTACGATGTGGCGAAGAATTTCAGTTCCAAGCTGACGCATATCTGTCCCGTGTGGTACCAGTTGAAAGCAACAGCCAGGGGTCCCGAGCTGGGCGGAAAGCAAGATGTGGACAAGGGGTGGCTACGTGCCCTCAAGGAACGTGGGAAGAAGGTCTTGCCTCGGTTTTCGGTAGAAGGATGGCCTTTGAATGAAATGCTACTGAATGCAGACTACACTAGGAAGATGGTTGATATGGTCGCGGACGAAATAAGCGCGCACGAGTATGATGGGCTAGTACTAGAAAGTTGGAATGCGTGGGCAGCAGCAGGGGTGCTGTCGGCGGTAGAGACGCGCTCAAAGGCGTTCGGTTTTGTCCAGAAGTTATCTTCTCGACTGAGGAAAATCGAGCAACAGAGTCAACCTAGCATGCCTCCAGGGTCATTGCAACTCTTCTTCGTAATCCCTCCCCCGTCTGAGACGAAATCCCTTCGGATATTCAACGGTGAAGATCTGCTGTACATGAGCTCCTTCGTGGATGCATTTCCGCTCATGACCTACGATTTCTCCAACCTGTACGGGCCGGGACCGAACGCCCCATTACATTGGGTGAAGACGTGCATGCGGTTGCTTCTTCCAGGAATCGACAAAGTCAAAGGCAAGGTGCAGGGTTCCAAGCTGGAGCGTGAAGGGGGCTACAGCCATGACAGGGAGCTGAAGAGCGTTCAGGACTCGCAAGGCCAAAGTGTCTCAGCAGGAATTGAGGAAAAAGTGCTTATCGGGCTGAATTTCTATGGCTACCAGTTTGTACCCCCATTGCCAGGCGGAGAAGCAGTTATTGCGCACGAGTACCTGAAGATTGTCGATGTGGAACGTCCAAAGTTTGTATGGGATGATATCGCACACGAGCACTTTTTCGATTATCCCTCTCCAAGAGGAACTGCACGCGTCTACTACCCGACATTGAAGTCCATGGACCTCCGGATCGAAGAGGCTCGGCAATGGGGCGCAGGTTTATCCATCTGGGAGTTGGGACAGGGACTGGACTTCTTCTGGGACCTTTTCTGATCAATATGACTCTTCTTAGGCTCTAATCACCCTACCACTATCGTCAACATATCTCATCGCATTTACTGCCGTACCTGGATGAATCTGACGGCAATTACATCCAGGGGTAAGTAAAAGAAGAAGGTCCTACTTTGAGCATGCCCTTAGTCATGGCTGAGCAAGGAATATATATATATATATATATATACCGGGCAGTTCTATTTGACGATATATATATATATGAGTCGGTGAAACTCCGACGAAACAGTTTGTCACAGCCCCTCGTTTGTTGTCCTCTTCTCTCTCTCTGCCTACGGTTTACCAGGCAGTTCTGTTTGTGACGATATA